TGAGAATTTGCTGTTTCCTATTAAAAAAAAAAAAAGATTTTTGCCTTTGCTTGTATTTGCTTTTGAGATTTTTGGTTTGACATTTTGATCATTTTGATCATTCTTTTCCATGCAGACAGAGTTTATACTAATTAGTTAACAGTTCAATTATTATCAAAGGGAGTTTTGAATGAAAAGAACCAAGTTCCCAGCCCTGCTCTAACTATGTGTTTGAGCACTGAGTGTAGCCCTTCATTAGGAACCCTGGAAATGGGCAAAGGAACGTGAATCATTAGAAATACTTATGTCTACTACTGTTTCTTAGGGGAATTGAGCACCTCTTTTGGGAATTTCTGCCTGAAAAAAGGCAGTTTATTCTAATCCATATTATCTGTCATGCTGTAGACCTAATACTGTAGCAACTTGTGAAAGAGCGGAGAAATGCAACAAAACCCACAGAGGTGCCTGGGGTGCCAAAGGTATGTCTGGATTTGTGAGATTCATGTCTGGCTGTTGCTGGATGTACAGTCAGTCACCAGCAATCCCTCTATTACCACTCTGCCACCCTCTATTTTCAGGCTCCTACTTTGAGGCTTGATTACAGCAATTTGGAGGATGTATGCAAACCTATTCCAGCTACTAATTGAAGGATCCCTACTAATTAGAAAAGGCTATGGAACAAATAACAATTGGCAAGTATGGGGTCTTTTTCTGTATGGAACACCCTTCAAACACTGACTTCTGTCTTGAACAAATTCATCATTACATTTTCTGGATAGGAGACAGACTTTGAAAGTCATTATGTGTGTTGTTACTGTTGCACATCTAAAAATATTTGGTATTTTCCTAAAAGCCCCAACTGCTGAAGCTATGTCATTGTGTAAGGGTCTTAGTTTCTATTAAGAAAGCTAAAACTTAAATTTCAGTGCTTCTTGATAGAGGAAAAGTCTTGAAAATATGTATCCCAAAGGCCCAACTTGAAAAGGCAAATAAAAAAAAGAAGATTTTTTTTAAATTTAAAAATTATCTTTCTCAAAAGTCTCAATATCTACTGGAAATGACAGCAATTTTGGACTTTTTGAAGTTAGCACAGATATGACTGTAACTGCTACCATAGATTAGGTTTCTTAGTGTGACTAAATGCAAAGTTTGCAAGATCCAGCTCCTATATCTACTTCTATTGCAATTCTATTGCAATTTTTAGTTGAGATATGTTCCCTGAAGAGTGGTTCATATCTTTGCTGAGACAATAATTTAAAATAAAACATGTAGAAATCAGTTTTGCAGGACATTTCTTTATGGTACCTTGTCAGAAACAGTCAATTCTTTCTTAAATTCATTTTTAAATGAGGAGATGTGTCATTAGGTAAACAGTGATTACCTAGTCATCGGCTGATCATCTCTTCTCTCTCTCTGAAAGCAAGGCTGGTAGCTGGACCATATCTCAGGATCTTATCTGGGAGATGTTTGGCTGCAATGGAGGTTTATCCCATGCTACTTCCAGATGAGGCTGTACCATTTCTGCTAGAGCAATCTTCTGTTTGTGCTAACGTGGGCAGGTTTACAAGAATGCATGTGTGCATTTTTGCAGGAACACATCTAACTTGTATATGATATTCCATGCATTTGCATTAGTCTTCAAGTAATAAAATAAAAAGCATTTAATTTCATGTTTGTCATCTTAAATGCACTCTCTTAATAAGCTTAAACCTCTTACACTTATACCTGTGCTTTATCTCTTCACAACCGGCCCCATGCTTCCTAAAAATAGTTCTTTTCCACTATGAGAGAGTATCTCTTCCTCTGCTGCTGAATTGGATAAGAATATTGTCCATTCTGCAATAGAGGGATTTGTCTCACTTTCCCACTGCCTCAGTGAGGTATTTTTAGCAGCTATTAATGTTAGTTTAATCCAAATGTTATTTACAGTAGAAGCGCCAGATATTTTAGTAATGCCATTAAATACACATAAGTCTAGAAAATGCTGAAAATTCAGTCCTATTGACACTTTGATAACGTCAAGTATTTTCTATTGAAATTCTGTGGATCTGGAATTCAGTATCAGGTGATGAGTGTCACAGGTACAGTGCAAGTATTTATTTGGTGTGATCCTTCACGAAATACGTGTGACAAAAATCAGAAAAAAACAGCACACAGTCAAGGCTTCTCAGCACCTTCACTGACACAGACTGCTTTAGGACCTGGTTTGACCATGATTTTCATCATAGTCAACACTGAGTGTTTCTGTGGGCATTGTTGCCTGAGTGCAATATTCCCATGAGGAAGCTTTCATGCTACTAAAAGTGTTGTCTTGCTGGACTTTATAGATTGCCCTAAACTATCATGACAAAATACCACTAACTTCTGAATTTGCCTAAGTGTCTTAAAACACAAATAATACACTCTGTGTCTTATGCCAAATGCCGCCAGATTTCCTAGTGACCTACTTTCCCTGAAGGTCAAAGCCAGTCAGACACTTTCTCAGACTTACATCACAGTGGGGTTAGACAGACACCTCTAATTGTGCTAGGGGATCCTGCTTTGCACTTGCCAGAGAAAATATTACAGAGTGGAGTTATTTCAATTGATTTCAACAGGTCAAGCTCAACTGTGCTACAGGAGATGTGAGACAGATTCAACAAGTGAGAGAAAACAATGGGCTCTGTGTCACCTTGGTAGTGAGTAAAGGGTGCTGTGGGTAGGAGTCAGCATGTTGAAAATCTCCAGCCCATAAATGCATGTTACAGTTTAGCCTGTGTCACACACAGCTTGGTTAGGAACATCACTCACACAGTGGTAAAGCCAGAATACCACTTACAAGGAAAACCAGGTCTCCCATTTTTCTCCAGCTGTGTCATTCCTTATTCATTACATTGTTTGCCCAAACTGTCTCTAGAGCTCAGGTAGAAGTTGGGCTTTCCTGCCCAGCTAGAAAGCAACACCTAATGTTTTCTAACTCCAGGGGACGTTCTTTGGTTTGGACTGTGGTGGTAAAAATAACTGGGGATTTTTCTTCTGGCTGCCAGTCCTGGACTTCCCAGCTTCCTCTTTGCAGCCCAAGAGCTTGTCCCTCCTGTAGTGATTGCACCACCTGCACACTGCCTTGGTGTAACCAGAACACAACCTTACTCTTCCCAGTGGGGGATGGTGAAGACTGCTTTCTCCTGAGCCCAGGCACACGTATCTTACACAAATACTGTTTTGTGGTAGGAAGTGAAAGAGCAGCCAATTATTCTTCACCTTTTCTTGCCCCCTTGCCCTTCCCTTAAAAGTGGATCTAGCCTGGAATAGTTCACTAAAAGTCACATCGTATACAACAGTTTTTCAGAGAACCTTTTATTTTTCGTTTGTGCAAGCTGAAGTCACGTTGGCCAAGCTGTGACACTGAAGCCCATCCCAGATGAATAGAAATGATTGTGTCCCTGGCCCAACTTGGGGTGTTATGTGCTGGCTCTTCATGGAGGGGTGTTGCATGGCTTACATAACCAGGAAACAGATAGAAGAAAGAATTCTTTTTTGTTTTAAAATTAAAAGACGGCATCAAATCTGCACATAAAGTCAGGGGGGCTCGCTGGTAGGCCCTGTAGTGGGGGGATGCTCTATTAATTGAAATATCAATGGTGGGAAGTGAGAAATTGTCTTCAATGCAGACTACCTAAATACTCAGAAGTCTGGAGATAATATGCTCTGATTGATGTATTGTGAGTGAAGGCACACTCACAGTACCAGGGTAGTGCAATGGGAAAGTTCAATTTCAGATGTCTAGGGCAGGAGCAGATCGTTTGATAGACCCTCTTTAGGAGTATAACAACTTGGAAAGTTATCTCTAAGTTTTGATAATCACTTTGCCTTCTGAGACTGCCAATCTATTTCTTAACTGTTCTTTTTAGTGTGAAAAAGTCTCCCATTTCTATTCTCTGCCCTACATACTTGGGTCAGGAAGCGAACATCCTATTTTTATAGCTTTGAAGCAAAATGGATATATAAGCAGCTGATTTCTTCACAGAATCCTTCTCAGACATTCTTTTATTTTTTTTACAAGAGGAGTCCTCACTCTTTCACCAGTCTTTACCTTAAAAGAAATAGGGCAACACAACTAAAGAAGATTCACAATTTTACCTGCTGAAGGGCACTGTAGTCAATGGTATTCAGCCCTGCAAGGACCTGCTAATATTATTTAAACTGTGGCCCAATTAGAAAAAAGGCTCTTTAAAAAAAAATATTTTTGAATAGCATACAGCAGAATAAAAAGATATTTTAAAGGAATGTTCTGATTTTTCCACTAACTGAATTTAACTTTTTTTTTGTTTGATATATGAATAAAGTTTTGTTTGTTTTGAACACTTCTGCTTCAAGAACTCATGGAAAGCACATTCAAATCTGTATTACTTCGATTTCAGGCTCAGTTTTGGTTTGGGAAGAGTTCTGGAGAAACAAGATTACAGGAACTAATTCCTATCTGGGACAAAGGCTTTTGATGCACATTTTGCTTTTACAAGACCTTATTAGCAGCCATTCTGTTTCTTTGGTAAAATGAGTTACTTATTCAGCTTCAAGGTACCTTTTTATAAATATCAAAACAGATGATTTCTTGCAAGCAATTATTCTGGAGAAAGAACAGTGAGGGATCATTTTAGGAAGGAAATTAGGGGAGACACTTTAATGTACGCAAACACAACATATGACAGTAGCATTGCATTGCTATGTAAAACAAGTCATTCAGATTTATATATTGAAGTCTCTGTTAGTAGTTAATCTGCTGCTGGCCACCTGCAGAGGAGGAATGGAAAAGGTTCCTTTTGATCTCTTTTGTGAAATGACCTTTAAGGGTGAAAAAATATAAAAAGAAAATAAATGTGAATGAACCTTAAAAGGTTTGGTACAAATATTCTGTTGGGAACTGTTTGGTCCTTTAAAAAGATGTCCACATAGGATGTAAAATGTATGAAAGAGAGTAACATCTGTGCTTTAGGTCAGGAAGGCTTATCACCCATTAATGTAACTCAGCTAACTTCTTACAGGTCCCTGAGACACAGTGTTAGTCTGCTGGGTTACTTTGTGAGTGTGCTGTGTCTCAGCAGAGAAGAGCAGCTTTGAATATGGAAATGAAGGAGGTAAGGACAGCAATTTCAACTCTGCTATGCATTACACCTCTTCTTGACAAGGGTTCCATTCAGGTGTGGTGTTTTGCTGACCCCTGTGTATTTTATGTATCTCTGTGCCTAAACTCCTGGTCTTTGTCTTGTACCTGACTGCAGGTTTGGATTCAATTTTGCTGGTAGGAAAAGATATTTAACCATGATTTATACTCATTTAAGTGGAAGGGGCCAAAGCAGAGCTCCTTCAATCTTGCCTACATCAGCAAACACTATAGATTCACCCATGCATGGAAATAAAACTGAGCGCTTGCATCTCACATTATCTTTGTGTCTAAATGAGGCTAAATGTCTGAAAATCATGCTCATGACCTCTGAGTGGGCAGAGATAATTCTGTCTATTATACCTCTCCACTTTCCTAAGATCCTGGATTTCTCAAACTGTCTGTAAAAGCCCAGGTTCTCCTCTGACCCTTGCACATACCCCGACACCAGGAAGACATATGTCTTAACAGATAATGGCTCCATTGTGTGAATACTGTCAGTATCATATCAATGTGACATAAATACAGCAAATTAGCCGTATGTTACTTACATCAGAACTGCTCCAGCTCTTTGTGTGGAAAGGAAAAGGTGCAAGTGAAAGCTCTCTGAAGCAGCATGAGTCTTTTCCTTTTTTTAATAGTGCTTCTGTGAAAACTGCACCAAGTTTTAGATTTGGTACTAATTCAAGGCAATTTCTCCCCCAAAATAAGAAAGAACTAAGGTTAATAATTAAACCTAAGCACTGCAAAATTTGTACTTTGGCAAAATTTTCCTTAAGGAATATTATTGCCAGTCTTCACCATACATGTGTGAAAATTACATGTTTCTTGTTCATATCACTGTGGAATTCGCTCCCTGCCACTATCATAAAATAGCTTCTTTCATGATAAAAGACAGATTAGTTAAGAGAGCTCTTTGCAATTACCTTTAGTTTTGGAGACTCAAATTCATTGAATTCCTTTCTATTGTGTCTTCAGTGATTGCAAAAATTAGATCTATTTAGTCTCTTGAAAATTAAAATTTTAACTGTGACTCTTTTTCTCTTCTAGGCATTTGCAAGGTGATACAACCATTGATAAGGCATAATACTTCTTATGTCACTCAGGAAATATTGCAAAATTATATTATGAGAAGTGATAGAAAAAATCAAATGAAAATGAAACCTTTTTTTTGACCACATGCATTTCTCAGGCACATGGTATACATTTCTCAGGCACATGCATTTCTAGAGACATGGTATGATTTTATTAATATACAAACATATTAATAATAAAAAGACATCAAATAACTTTTGGAACTAAATATTCATTTGAGTTTGTAAATTTTTACTGAAGTGTGATGTAACAAGTGTCATGAAAAATGTTTGTAAGTTTTCCTGAACTTATATCCCTTCCTTAAAGAGTAGTTCATGGAAACAAGGAAGGTGCCCGTCTGGTTGTGTATAATCAAAAATGGCACATTACTGGAAATTAAATATAGGCAATATTTTTTCAGAAAGTATCAAATAATGAATACATGGGCTCTCCATTTTTTGCAAACACTTGAATGTTCATTTCATAAGCTTGTGTTCATTCTCCCCCTGCCCTCCTTTCATGGGAACATCTTTAAACAATGGTTTTCAACAAGTCACTTTTTTCAATTTTTTAGCTGTAAGGTATCAAATTGCACCAGTCTGATTGCATGTGTGTTTTTCTATAACAAGTCAACACTGAATGCATGAACAAATTACTAGGGTGCATTTTAAAATCTAAAGAATAGAAATAAAACTTTGCACTAAAAAATTCTCCAGTAGTGTTCAGTAGACTTATTGTCCTCTAAAATTGTAAATACACTTCTGTTTTCAGAGAGAGCAGCCCTGTTATGATGATGTAATTTGTGTGAATTTTGCCAGAGGAGAACTTTGAACAAATATGTTGTGGATTAGTCCAGCGACTTTTTCAATGTGTAAGATTATCCATGGAAGTTTTTTCTGGGAAAGGGCAGGACTTCAGAGAGACATTCTTCCCTTCCAAAATACTAGAGATGTTATATAAACATTACACTGACAAGAGGCTTTATTCTTACTCTTGTGCTATTATACCACAACTCTTCAGTCAGCTCTGACTCAAAGCAGTGGTTACACTGAACTTGTTGGGATGTTGATGTTAATGAATTAAAAGCATATTTGGTGCATACTAGAGCTCTGAATTTCTGTGATATCTTGACTTCAAATTCACTGCATGACACTATGAAGAAATATAAATCTGGTTAGCCAAATGTAATTTTCTAACCTCAGAAATTACAGCAATCAAAATTTGCATATTTGTGTAAGACCAAAAATATCTGTATCTTCCTACTAATAGGAGCACAAAACTCCTGTATATCCCTTGGTTTTCCACCAGCTTCTCCACAGAACTCAGCAAGAGCCTTCATATCTATGTGTAAATGCATGCACTGCTACAGCAACAATCTGCTTAGAAAAAGACAGGGTTATAGATTTCCATCCCACTTTGTTACCACTTACACTGACTCATTTCATAATGGATATGCCCTACAACTAATGGGTGGCTCGTTGCTTGAGTTACCTGATGCTGAGGGGCTTTGTGAGTGGTGCAGCTCTAACGAAGAACATGTTTCTTGGTGTTATCTGAGAGAGCATCACCTTAGTCACATCTTTTTCTAAGTATAATTTCACATGGTTTAATTGTTAGGTATCTCTTAATGACTGGAATGATGCCAGTATTAAGAACCTGTGCTTGCAGGTTATTCTAGAGTGTCAGATGTGCAGCATAGCCTGTAGTCTACCTAAACCTCTATGTTGAAACAATTCTGATGATATTTGAGGTGATAATTGAAATTACACCAGTGTCTCAGAAGCCTCTCTTAGAACACCAAAATAGGTTGGATAATGTTAAAAAGAAGAAAAAGAAGTATGGATAAACTGACTCTTACACTTTGCAGGACACAGGATTGAATTTAATATGATTCTTAAGTACTGTATGGATTGACTGGTTGCTCAACAATTGCACAGCTTCTGACCCCAGGGCTTCCTGAGCCATAACAAGAGATGGCCACACTTCAAACGACAATAAAAATGCTAACAATAATCAGGACAATAATAAATTACTGGTACTCAGCACAGAGATAATTTATTGAAATTTTAAGTCTTCTCTTATTTTATAGCTGAGAAAAAGCAAAGGTTAATTTATAGCCCATTTGTATTTTCCATTTTCAAGCCAATACTAAACCAATTGAACAACTTCACTATGGCTCAAGGGAAATTTGGTCACTGCTTTATTGAAAACAGAATTGGTGACCTAGAACCTGTTCCTCTCTGGCAAGACTCTGACTGCATCCATTCTAAATCAGAGGCGTGGATACTGGTGTAAAACTGCAGCAACACCCCGGTGGAGCAGGTCTTTAATCCACCACATCCATGCAAATTATGCAGACCTCAGAGAACTGAGTATTCAGACTTTGTATTTATGCTCAGAGAGGGGAAAACACGCCCATAGTTCATTCGCATAATAAATGTGATGGGAAAATAATTCTGTGGGGACAAACATTGTTTGGTTTGTCATGAGACATACTTGACAGTTACTGCTTTGTCCCTTTTGTGCCATTGCAATGCAGTGGTATGATTGTGCCATAAATCTGAAAGACTGTTTTGCAAAGTTCGTATCTGTGCTTGCTACCTTTAATATTAATAGGAGAATATCTTTAAAGTGAGTAAATTGAGAAAGTGGCTGAAACTATAGTTTATAAAAGAAGATTAGTGGGTTTAATATGCACTGGAGAGTAAAAGAAAAATCTTATTACTGTATGGAGAAATTACCTCATAAAGAAGCTAATACAGCAGGCTAGGGAGTAATTTTTAACAAGGTTTTTATGATGCACAAGTGTAGGCAAGTTAATGAACTTATCTTTCTAGTTATTTTCAGATTGTAACAATGCATTTCTTTTCAGTTCCTGTGCTTTAAAAAGTAAAACACATTTAATCACTTACAATAAAACTAACTCATTAGTTTGATAAATCAAGTAAGATCCTATACTGCTCCTGTTGTGGCACTGCTGCTAAGAAACTAGATCAGGTGAAAACATTAAGTATGGAACAGAGCAAACAACCAGGTTTATTCGTTATTGGAATTAAAAGGTGTCACACTGACTGGGAATGTTCATTTTTGGAAAGACCTGCTCCGGTCTCAGTAGCAGAACTTAGGAAATAAAAACTAAAATAGGGACCAAGGCCAAGATTTTGCTTAAACAATTCCACTCTGCAAAATAGCCATGTGGTCTTTGACATTCATAAAACAGACATCTGAAGAATGTCACATCCAACAGCAAAGAAACCACAGGGGGGAGTTGGTAAATACAGAATGTCCATCTGTCAGCACCCCAGCATGGCATGCGTAGGTATTGTTTAGGAGGAGCATGTCCACATTTTTCTGCCCAAATGCAGAACACAGACTGCTGAGTAAAACAGTTCAATCTTTATATTGATTAAAGAGATGTGCTTTCCTACCATACAGCAATCACTGTACTTGAAATTAATTCAGCAGAAATCTGAAAGAAAGACTGAAGACTGTCAGGCACTCACTGCAGGTTTTAATACAGATGTCCTAGAACAGAAATACTGCGGACACACCACAACAATTTGACACTACAGCACAACATTTCATCGAGAGTTTATCAGAACCTCATCTAGACCACAGCCATGTAAGCCACAGTCTTGTTGAATGTTAGTATTATTCACAGCCTCCTTTGTGTCATGGCATGGGACAACCTTACCAGAAGCACACTGAAAGGGAGAGAGGAGTGCACTGGGAAGATGTTATTGCTGATCAACTCACTGACTGGGAAGGAAGAATTTCCCCTCCACTGATGAGAACATTCTCTCCCATGGATGTGGAAGAACTGTCTGCAAAGAGCAGCAGCAGGGAGATTTCTACTATTACAATAGCATCTGAATGATGAGAAAGTTGCATAGTGCTCAA